GGGAATCTCGCTTAGGTTCTCAACACTTAGATAAGACTGGGTTGTACTGTGTTGGCTCTATCATGCTCATGCTCTGCCATGTGCAGGAAGAAGTTTTTGTCCCACTAGTGAACTCCCTAATAACCAGATGGAGACTTAGTAATTATGAAACCTCAGCAGATAGCTTAAGTTTATTTCTAATTAGCTGTCATAGCTTAAATTTACCCATATTTTTAAATCTACATTCTTTTAAATGGCTTTAGTTTCCCTTATTCTCTGCTCCCTATCCTGCTTTCTCTCTGTCTAGATGGTGACTGTGTCCTTCTTCCCAGTGTTCTCTCAGTCTGGTTCTCCTGCCTAACCTATTCCTGCCTAGCTATGAGACAGTTTGCTCTTTATTAAACCAATGAGAGTAACTTATCTTCAGAGTGTACAAAAGATTATGTCACAGCAATGATGCATAAGATGGGATCATTTATCAACATTTCTTTTTCTTTTTTTTTTTTGGCAGGTTTTACAGGTTTATTTTTCCAATACCAATGAGACATATAAGTGCAGCGCTTTTTTGAGCAGCCCTATGGACCAGACCACTGTCAAGTTTCACTTCTGAGACCTCAAAGGTCTTAGAAGAAGACTGGATATGCTTGGCTCCTGCTCCTGGTCTTTGGTAAAGAGACTTTTGAGCACACAACATGAATTTGGCCAATACTGAATTTAAATCACATCACTATCAACTCCTCATTCACACTTGTTTGCCCTCCCCCCAAAAAAGACAGCCACCTCTGATGAAATGGCGGAGCGGCAGCTTGCAGAGAAAATGAGATTTGCTCAAGGCACACAAATTTTTATACTTCATACAGAAGCACTCACACAAGGAGACAGCTAAATTAAACAAGGACTCCCAATTTTCAAGTAAAAATACAAGAAAGAGGGTAGGAACTGGGACGAGGTCAGACAAATACAAAGGGTGTCTACTTGATGGCAACGTGTTAGGAGAGAGGCAGGCAGCAGGCATGGTTTTGTTCCCCTGAAACCTACTGTCAAAAGTAAGTCAAAAGGAGCCTAGCAATCCCCAATATTGCTTTGACAGGTGATGACCCTGGAGCCAGATCCAGAAGGCCTGTCTGGGGGCCGCCCAAGGAACTCACCCATGAATCCAGAAGCACTTAACACTGGTGATGGCCATTTGTCATATATGGCAGCAGATCAGCCACTCAAGGCTGGAAGAGAATAGATAGAAGGAACAAAACATGTTTGCTCAGTGGTGTGTGAGCAGCTGTCTGTGGCGCTGTAGGCGGTGGCAGATTCTCTGGTGACAGGTGACAAGGCACAGGGCCAACCACAGGTCACAAGTCAGTAACTTCCTTCTCACATCTCACAGTGGCTCTGACCATTGGTGCACAGAAGTAAACAACACCATGTAATCACGGTGCTGAAGATGTAAATAAAGGAAGAGACGGCGTTCATGTTCTCTGTACAATACATCCATTTACAGAATTGGTCAGTACTGTGTACAACCTATAAATACAGAATAAAACATTAGAGGTGCATAGAGCATACTTACAGAAGCCAAAAAGTTCACTTTATACATCCAAGAATAGAGTTAAAAATATAAAAATAAGAAACAGACTGCTTGGAAATGTAAAATGACTTTCACATACACAGGTGCATGGGTGCCCACTCCCACAGAGTCAAATGTGACAGGGTGGGTAGCAAGCAGTAGTCACCTGCAACATCTGTACAGTTAACTCTCAAGGTCTACAGATAGCATTTCCATAGAAGACAGCCCTATTTCCAGACCCCATTGTCCAAGAAGGGCTATTCAAGCTTCCAAAAGAATCTGTGGATCCATGGGTTACAGACAGATAATAGTTCCAAACTGGGTGAAGCACCAGAACCAAAGGTCAACTTGGCTCCATCAACTGGCAAATGACAGAAATATGACATCAAGATCAGCAGGTGTTTGATCCCCTGGTGGGCAATGATGGAAGTTACTTTAACCCTGTGTGGCTTCTGCAACCATCAATTCCCCAAGCAAAGTAGAAGACTGCAGCGAGGGGCAGTGGAAAACTGACATTCCTGCTCAATTCAGGCAGGTGAGTTCCAGCCACGGAGAACCCAACCTTCTTGCTTCAATTTCAAGTCCATTTGCCCTGCCACACTATGCTGCCTAACTCCAAGAGGGTTTAGGCTGGCTGGCTGTGGGCAACCACAGGTCTACCCCGCCCCCGCTGGAAACCCTACTAGCAAGACTAGAAGGGTGTCAAGTGACAGAGGGCTTCAGCACTATAAATTTGAGGGGAAGGCAAGATTTATCTCGCCTAGAAATAGTTCGTTATACCAATGATATTCTGTATACAGATTTAAGATCAACCATTATTAAAATACACACACTAAATGTACAATGTTTCCAATGGCCATAATTTATTATCTCACCACAAGGCACAATACACAGAGCTTTGAGGGTCCAATGCAGTCATCATGGAAGAATGCTCCACAGCCTTGGCACATGATCATGGCTTTCAGGCTGCATGCACACTGGAGAGAGATGCTTTCCACCGCACTGCTGTCAGTGAACATTTGCAGGGAGAGTGATGCAGTGTGGCCTGCACCAAAGCTGGCTTTGTGGCTCAGCTGCACCACACTTCCAGCAAGGCCTTTGGGAAAGGTGGCAGAGCTGGAGGAGTAATTAAAGCTGGTGGGACTCAGCTGTAGTTTAGAAAACTTCCCATACAAAGCCTGCTTGATGTTGAGTTGGGAGGGAATGGAAGAAGGCTCCAGGGGCTGACTTAGCCCTTTCCCTGGCTCTCTGGGTAATTTCCAGAAAGGCAGGTCCACAACAAAAGGCATCCCTTGCAAGTGACCCACTAGTTCCAGAGGACTACACCCTGCAGCTTTTCTATTCTCTGCATCTGCCTTAAGTGGACCCCTCGAGAACGTCTGCTCTGTCTTGTTGCCACCAGCAGAGCCAGGTGATGGCTTTGGCGTCCAGTCTTCCCTTGCGGTCTGCACACCATCAGATACCGAGTTTTTGCTTGGTTCTATCTTCCGACTGGGAAAAACTGGAGGGACCTCAGCAGGTAGTGGTGTCTGCTCTCCAGACCTGGGGCACTGAAGGATGGGGATCGTATTCCTAGGACCAAATAGTTTCTTCTCTTGACTACCAGCATTGTTCTGATCACCCAGGGTCCTATCTGTCTGCTCAGGACCAAAGGAGAGGCTCACATTTGCAGAGGAGAAACATGGCACTTCGGAGGTAGTGTGATCTCCTGGACACTGGCCTGAGGCAGTACCTGGATCACTGCCTTGGGACTGGGAATGGGCTTCTTTCTGCTCTTCACAAAGGAAGGAAGAGAAATGCTCTTTGGAATCTATTTCTTCCAGGCTGCCAGAGGAAGGTGTCAGTTCTGTCACTGGATGCTGGGAGTCTAAACTTGGAACCATCGATGCAATCTTCTGGGGCATTCCAGGAGCCTGGGAGGCCTTTGCCCTGCCAAGACCAGTGCTTGCTGCATAGCTCTGGGCCAGAAGAGACTCCTTCAAAGCTAGTGCAGAACCAGGGCTACTTCTGGCAACTAGGTGATTGTCTTCCCCAGTACCTTGTACAGTACCTCTATCCTGGCTCTGGTCTCTAAATGGCAGCTGTGGGGATTCTGGCTTGCTGCCTCTGTGACCTGGAGGAAGAACCTTCTCCAGAGGCAAGTTACCGTGCAGCAGGTGCATCATAAGAGGGTTGGTAACCTCCACCGAAGAAGAACCAGGCTTAGGTGGGCACACAGACCTGGGCTGGCAGTCAGTACTGGAGAGCAGCAGGGAGTCCGAGATCTTGGGTGGGACTGCACATACTCTAGAGACCCAGCTCTGAGAAGCCGCTATCCCTTCTGTCCTTGTAAGCACACTTGGGTTCCTGCTCACCTTGGACAGTGAGGAGGATGGGGCCCAGTCCTGCTTTTCACTCCTGTCCACTAACAACTCCTTTGCCTCTGTGGCTTCACTTGCATCCACTTCACTGCCGTCCTCAGTGAGGTGGCCTTCAGAGTCAGAGGCTATATCTGTGGACTCGCGGTGAGGACTTGGAGTTTCAGATATGCCTTTCATCTCCAGTCTTTCAAGGCCCACCTGCTCACCATCACTGCAAGCGCTGTCCATGGTTCCAGGAGGAGGTGCTGTCCAGAGTGAAGCGCAGCTCTCAGAGTGGGGCACACCCGCGGCTACCAACTCCCCAGGCATGGCAGCAATGAGGGGAATAGCTCTCTCCCACTTCTCTTCATCCCTGGGCTCCAGAAATGGTGCATTTTCTCTGGTTTCTGGCTCAGACTCTTTCACTACCTCATAATTTGACAGAATGGGTACCCAGGAGGCAGCACCACCAGATCCAAAAGCTTCAGTATTCAAAGATTCTTGTCTATCACTTTCCCTTTTGAGGGGGCCTGTGTCACCAAGTCCTAATCCATCATCAGCAGATTCATCTTGTAGGTACTTAGCCAATGACAATTCAGATCTAAAAGCAGGTGTCACATTTACAAGCTCTTTTACCCTGGGATTATCATCAAAGGCCTGGTCATTTACTCCTCCTAATACATCTCCCACTGGAGACTGTTCAGAACCATTCTCTGAGGGGACAGTGGATCCTTGATCCTCACTACCCCTCTCCCAGGAAGTATTACCAGACTCACACTCAGTTCTACCATCTAGAAGCAACTTAGGCTGCTCTAACTTCTCAGCCACCGGAGTTTGGGAGGACAGTGGTGGCAAAGCCTGGCATGGCTGGTCTCCAGTGGGAGCAATAGGGGGTTGGGAGGCATCTTCCAGCCCACTTGTAAGCACACCTGGGACCCTCCGTGATAGGCAGCTCTCCTTTCTGAGAGAAGCCACGTCCTCTACTCTGGCTCTGGGCAAGGCAGCTTCAGCTGGAGTGTGCTCTTCATTCAGAGGACAAGGCGGCAGTAGTTGTGTTCGCTGTAGATCTGACGCACTCTCTCCAGAGGTGCTTGGGGCTCCCCTGGCCTCACCACCATCACCACTGCCGCAGCCTCTGCCACCTCCCTCATCGATGACCCCACTGCCACCCCCCCCTCCGATGGCAGTGGTTGCCGCCTCTCGATGGCAGTGGTGGCCTCTCGCCCCTCGGGCCTGCAAAGCACGGGCTTTAATGTCTGCGAGGGTCCTGGCACCAGTCCAACCCCGGCAGGAGGACTCCGTGATGGGGACAATCCGGGGGCATATCTGGTAAGTGGGCCGACCTTTAGCCACCCAGGGTGGTTTGATACGTGAAAGTTGAATCTGCAAGAAGCATAAATAGCAGTTTTAACAGGGTGACCTGACCTAGGAACTACATAGCAAAACTGGAATGTAAGTTATCTTAGACATCATGGCCTAAAAAACACACTTTCCTAAAAATTAGAATAATCACAGTAAAATGGCCACCTATAGACACCACTTCATTCTGAGCAAGCTCCACTAAAGAACCATTTATGCTGCAGGAAAATCTCCCCATCTTTTTCCCTCCTTGAAAAACATTTTTTTAAAAATTTATTTTATTTTATTTTTATGTGCATTTGTGTTTTTGCTATGGGTGTCAGGGTCCCCTGAAACTGGAGTTACAGACAGGTGTGAGCTGCCATGTGGGTGCTGGGAATTGAACCCGGATCCTCAGGAGGAAGAGTCAGTGCTCTTAACCCCTGAGCCATCTCTCCAGCCCCGAAAAACATTTTTTATGACATTTATTTATTGTGTATATGTATGCACAGAGGCCACAATCACACGTGGAGTCAAAGAACGACTTACAGGAGTTGGTTCTCTCCTTCCATCATGTGAGTCCCAAATCCAGGTTATCAGGGTTGGCAGCAAGTTCCTTTACCCACCGATACAAAGTTTTTCGTTGTTAACCCAAGCTGACTTTGAACTGCTGGCAATCCCCCAGTTTTAGCTTTTCAAGTGCTAGGATTGTATGGGAAGCCAAACACACCATTCAAATTTAATTTCTAATTTAACCTGTGGGTCATTAAACAAATAATGTAACACCTAATAAAATTACAAACCTCAAAGGATTTTTGACATCCAGATAATTTTAAATGCATCATCCTGTCAGTCACAGGAAGCTTTCTTACTGACAGTTTTGTACTCCATGTAATTCATAACAGGGCCTGAGAGCCTCTGCTCTTGCCCTTGTCCCTGTCCCTGACAAAAAGCTCCATAATCTCATGATCCTCAAAAGAAGTCTGGCACCTGGGACTCTAGGTACTGAAGTTTCTTACCCGGATGGGCGGGACTTTGGGCTCCTCTTTAGTGGGCTGTGGCTTTTCGGTGTGAACACTTTCAATTGTGTTACGAAAGGACTGACGATCTTCAA